AACTGGACTCCCATGGTAAACTGGACTTCCATAGTGAACTGGACACCCATGGTAAACTGGACTTCATAGTAAACTGGACTTCCATAGTAAACTGGACTTCCATAGTGAAAAGGACACCCATGGTAAACTGGACTTCCATGGTAAACTGGACTTCCATAGTAAACTGGACTCCCATGGTAAACTGGACTTCAATGGTAAAGTGTACTTCCATAGTAAACTGGACACCCATGGTAAACTGGACTTCCATAGTAAACTGGACACCCATGGTAAACTGGACTTCCATAGTAAACTGGACTTCCATAGTAAACTGGACTTCCATAGTGAACTGGACACCCATGGTAAACTGGACTTCCATGGTAAACTGGACTTCCAAAGTAAACTGGACTCCCATGGTAAACTGGACACCCATGGTAAACTGGACTTCCATAGTAAACTGGACACCCATGGTAAATTGGGATTCTATAGTAAACTGGACACCCATGGTAAACTGGACTTCCATAGTAAACTGGATTTCCAAAGTAAACTGGACTCCCATGGTAAACTGGACTTCCATAATAAACTGGACACCCATGGTAAACTGGAATTCCATAGTAAACTGGACTCCCATGGTAAACTGGACTTCCATAGGTAAACTGTACTTCCATAGTAAATCTGGACTTCCATAGTAAAATGGACACCCATGGTAAACTGGCTTCCATAGTAAAATGGACACCTATGGTAAACTGGACTTCCATAGTAAAATGGACACCCATGGTAAACTGGACTTCCATAGTAAAATGGACACCCATGGTAAACTGGACTTCCATAGTAAAATGGACACCCATGGTAAACTGGACTTCCAAAATGAACTGGACACCTATGGTAAACTGGACTTCCATAGTAAACTGGACTTCCATGGTAAACTGGACTCCATAGGTAAATTGGACTCCATGGTAAACTGGACTTCCATAGGTAAACTGGACTTCCATAGTAAACTGGACTTCCATAGTAAACTGGACTCCCATGGTAAACTGGACTTCCATAGTAAACTGGACTCCCATGGTAAACTGGACTTCCATAGTAAATTGGACTCCCATGGTAAACTGGACTTCCATAGTAAAATGGACACCCATGGTAAACTGGACTTCCATAGTAAACTGGACTCCCATGGTAAACTGGACTTCCATAGTGAACTGGACACCCATGGTAAACTGGACTTCCATAGTGAACTGGACACCCATGGTAAACTGGACTTCCATAGTAAACTGGACACCCATGGTAAACTGGACTTCCATAGTAAACTGGACAGCCATGGTAAACTGGACTTCCATAGTAAACTGGACTCCCATGGTAAACTGGACTTCCATAGTGAACTGGACACCCATGGTAAACTGGACTTCAATAGTAAACTGGACTTCCATAGTAAACTGGACTTCCATAGTAAAATGGACACCCATGGTAAACTGGACTTCCATGGTAAACTGGACTTCCATAGTAAACTGGACTCCCATGGTAAACTGGACTTCAATGGTAAAGTGTACTTCCATAGTAAACTGGACACCCATGGTAAACTGGACTTCCATAGTAAACTGGACACCCATGGTAAACTGGACTTCCATAGTAAACTGGACTTCCATAGTAAACTGGACTTCCATAGTGAACTGGACACCCATGGTAAACTGGACTTCCATGGTAAACTGGACTTCCAAAGTAAACTGGACTCCCATGGTAAACTGGACACCCATGGTAAACTGGACTTCCATAGTAAACTGGACACCCATGGTAAATTGGGATTCCATAGTAAACTGGACACCCATGGTAAACTGGACTTCCATAGTAAACTGGATTTCCATAGTAAACTGGACTCCCATGGTAAACTGGACTTCCATAGTAAACTGGACACCCATGGTAAACTGGAATTCCATAGTAAACTGGACTCCCATGGTAAACTGGACTTCCATGGTAAACTGTACTTCCATAGTAATCTGGACTTCCATAGTAAAATGGACACCCATGGTAAACTGGCTTCCATAGTAAAATGGACACCTATGGTAAACTGGACTTCCATAGTAAAATGGACACCCATGGTAAACTGGCTTCCATAGTAAAATGGACACCCATGGTTAACTGGACTTCCATAGTAAAATGGACACCCATGGTAAATTGGACTTCCAAAATGAACTGGACACCTATGGTAAACTGGACTTCCATAGTAAACTGGACTTCCATAGTAAACTGGACACCCATGGTAAATTGGGATTCCATAGTAAACTGGACACCCATGGTAAACTGGACTTCCATAGTAAACTGGATTTCCAAAGTAAACTGGACTCCCATGGTAAACTGGACTTCCATAATAAACTGGACACCCATGGTAAATTGGACTTCCAAAATGAACTGGACTCCCATGGTAAACTGGACACCCATGGTAAACTGGACTTCCATAGTAAACTGGACACCCATGGTAAATTGGGATTCCATAGTAAACTGGACACCCATGGTAAACTGGACTTCCATAGTAAACTGGATTTCCAAAGTAAACTGGACTCCCATGGTAAACTGGACTTCCATAATAAACTGGACACCCATGGTAAACTGGAATTCCATAGTAAACTGGACTCCCATGGTAAACTGGACTTCCATGGTAAACTGGACTTCCATAGTAAAATGGACACCCATGGTAAACTGGACTTCCATAGTAAAATGGACACCCATGGTAAACTGGACTTCCATAGTAAAATGGACACCCATGGTAAACTGGACTTCCATAGTAAAATGGACACCCATGGTTAACTGGACTTCCATAGTAAAATGGACACCCATGGTAAACTGGACTTCCAAAATGAACTGGACACCTATGGTAAACTGGACTTCCATAGTAAACTGGACTCCCATGGTAAACTGGACTTCCATAGTAAACTGGACTCCCATGGTAAACTGGACTTCCATAGTGAACTGGACACCCATGGTAAACTGGACTTCCATAGTAAACTGGACACCCATGGTAAACTGGACTTCCATAGTAAACTGGACAGCCATGGTAAACTGGACTTCCATAGTAAACTGGACTCCCATGGTAAACTGGACTTCCATAGTAAACTGGACACCCATGGTAAACTGGACTTCAATAGTAAACTTGACTTCCATAGGTAAACTGGACTTCCATAGTGAACTGGACACCCATGGTAAACTGGACTTCCATGGTAAACTGGACTTCCATAGGTAAACTGGACTCTCATGGTAAACTGGACTTCAATGGTAAACTGTACTTCCATAGTAAACTGGACACCCATGGTAAACTGGACTTCCATAGTAAACTGGACACCCATGGTAAACTGGACTTCCATAGTAAACTGGACTTCCATGGTAAACTGGACTTCCATAGTGAACTGGACACCCATGGTAAACTGGACTCCCATGGTAAACTGGACACCCATGGTAAACTGGACTTCCATAGTAAACTGGACACCCATGGTAAATTGGGCTTCCATAGTAAACTGGACACCCATGGTAAACTGGACTTCCATAGTAAACTGGATTTCCATAGTAAACTGGACTCCCATGGTAAACTGGACTTCCATAGTAAACTGGACACCCATGCTAAACTGGAATTCCATAGTAAACTGGACTCCCATGGTAAACTGGACTTCCATAGTAAACTGTACTTCCATAGGTAAATCTGGACTTCCATAGTAAAATGGACACCCATGGTAAACTGGACTTCCATAGTAAAATGGACACCCATGGTAAACTGGACTTCCATAGTAAACTGGACTTCCATGGTAAACTGGACTTCCATAGTGAACTGGACACCCATGGTAAACTGGACTTCCATAGGTAAACTGGACTTCCATAGGTAAACTGGACTTCCATGGTAAACTGGACATCCATGGTAAACTGGACTTCCATAGTAAAATGGACACCCATGGTAAACTGGACTTCCATAGTAAACTGGACACCCATGGTAAACTGGACTTCCATAGTAAACTGGACTTCCATAGTAAACTGGACTTCCATAGTGAACTGGACACCCATGGTAAACTGGACTTCCATGGTAAACTGGACTTCCATAGTAAACTGGACTCCCATGGTAAACTGGACACCCATGGTAAACTGGACTTCCATAGTAAACTGGACACCCATGGTAAATTGGGCTTCCATAGTAAACTGGACACCCATGGTAAACTGGACTTCCATAGTAAACTGGATTTCCATAGTAAACTGGACTCCCATGGTAAACTGGACTTCCATAGTAAACTGGACACCCATGCTAAACTGGAATTCCATAGTAAACTGGACTCCCATGGTAAACTGGACTTCCATGGTAAACTGTACTTCCATAGTAATCTGGACTTCCATAGTAAAATGGACACCCATGGTAAACTGGCTTCCATAGTAAAATGGACACCTATGGTAA